TCGTGGAGCTCTGCACAACCGAGCAGGGAAAGCGCCACGCGAGCTACCGGTCCGGACGGCGCCCGGGGACCGCAGGAACCGGGCCCTTTGCGGAAGCCGCGCAAGCCCCACTTCCTCGGTAATCCACCTTCGATTCTCTCCCCTCACTGTAGGGCGAGCCACAGAGGCGGCATCCAGGGCTGAAATCTGAGCGGGGCCCGGGAGCACCAGGCACCAGGGAGCGGCACGCTTCTCCGCCCTCCTCCCGGGGATCCACCCAGGCCCGGGGCTCATCCGATCTCCTTCACCATCCCATTCCCCACCTCCACTCCTTTCCTCCCTTGCCGGACTGGAAATACCTGTCTGCGTTGGCGAGCTACCAGATCTGGCTTGGCGCCTCGAGTGTGTGCGCTTGAAGGAGGCGGCTCTGAGGTTGACGTTCCAAATTTGCTCCTCTGGCCTAGCCCCACACCCAGAAAAACGGGCCAGGAGGGTAGAGATGACAGGCATCCGACAACGGAGATTGGAAGGAGAGGGGGGAAATAGTGAGCTTTTGCTGAACCCCCGGAGGGTGCGAGACGCTGAACTTTCAACTCTTAGGAACCTACACAGAACCCTGAGAAGTAAGTTTAGTTGCGTTTGATGAATGTCACCAAACCCAGTTTTCGGTCAGAAAGATATCTTGCCTGTCTGCCCCTCGGAGTTTTCTACTTCCTCAGCTTGGTACTGCTCAGGATGCACGGTTATTTGCCTTCTCCACCACGCTTAACCAGTTGTCGCCTATCCAGGTCCTTCCCATCTCATTGGTTCCTCTGGAAGCTTTCCTTGCTCTCACCTGAGTCTGAAATACGATGGACTCACACCAGGTGTGCCAGGCCTCGCATCCATGGAATCATCCTGCAAGGTCAGGGTGGCTGTGAACTGCGCCAGAATCCCTATCATGATGTCCCTCTGGGTGGTCATCCAACGCCCATCTGAGCACAGCCTGGCACTCCATCCTTAGCTCTGACTGCTGGAATGGGGCTTCCTCAAGATGTAAATGTCTGGATGCCCTTTTGTCCAGGATCGAATGGAAGAGCAGTTGGGGGAAAACATGCAGGAGCAGGGACGTTGTCTTTTCTTCCACCGCTCCAGTGGAAGTTCCCAAAATAGTATCTCCACACACTGCTCTCCAGTGTTCCGGAATTACACCGCCCTCACAGGTGGTAAGACTACCGTGATGACTTGTGAGTGGGCACTGCACCAAGACAGAGTGGAAAAGTTAGTCTGCGGGGAGCCTTTTTGATTTCTTCACTCCTCACCAGCCAACGGACAGATCTCCCTTCCCCATTTGAGAATCTGCCCCACCTGTGATCTAAACATTTCATTTCTGCTCTTTGAAGTCCTTTCTGAAAGCTAATCTCATTTGAACAATAAAATAACTTTTTGTAAAGTGAGATTTTAAATGGTCTTCAATTTTTTAAAAATTTACCTATGTTCATATTTTAGAAGCTTATTTATGTTTTATTATTTATTATTTTTATTTTTATTTTTTAGATAACAGAAATTGAACCCAGGACTTCACACTTGCCAGGCAGGTGCAGCGCCATTGAACTAAATCCCTGGTCCTATAAGTTTTATTATTATTGTCATTTTCAACTGATGAAAATGTGTCTTGAACCATGGTGGTCTGGGTTTTGTGGGCGGTGGGCTTGGTAAGAAAAGGAACCTAGCCCCATAACTTGTTCCCTCACCACCCTAGAAGTGAAAGTTGATAAAAACAGTCCCAAAAGTTCTAACCTGAAGATTTTCCTGTTGCATTTCCTTGACCATGGACATTTATCTCTGCGAAAGTTTATTCAGCTACATAGGCCTCTTAACCTAAGTATCAGCCTGCCTGTATATTTTAACTTGCCAGCAAGAATATCAGAAATGGTGATTCCAGGGACTCTCTTGACCATGAACACTGGCCCTCTTACCATGTTAGAAAAGAAGCATGGTCTCTGGTATTGCCATTCACTCTCTGTGTATTTGTCTTCTGTCCCAATGAGGCACTAAGCTCTGTGAGGGTGTTGATCATGTCATCCCTAATTTCCCCAGATCCCAGAGTCTTATCAGAAGAGCTGCTGCCCTGACTCTCTCTCCTGGACTGCCACCTATCATTTTATCACACTGTGTGGTGCAGAGTTCCACATTAGTGTATTACCACTTAGCTTCTGTCTACCTTTTGCCCCTTTTCCTCTTTCCCTGGGCTCACTCCTGAGCACAGATCAGAGTTTCCTCTACTGAGACCTGTTTATTCCCTCCAGAACACCTCCCCTCATGCCTCCCGCCATGCTGTGTTCCACCCTTGTCTTGAAATTGTATCCTTTCACCACAGAGTTCACCACAGAGAACTCACTACAGAGTTCCTCTGTCTCTCCAGTGCTGGCCCAGTTCCTGACACTTAGTAGGTGTTTAAATAGTATTCCCTTCCACAAGTTTCTTGCCACCTACTTCAAACACTGAGGAGGATTCACAACCTGCAAAATGGCTATCAGATGATTATTATTCTGGCCTCCAGCAGAGGAAGAGGCCGAACCTTTCTTATAAACAACCTTTTTGAGGTCTCCACTGCCCTTTTCCAGCTGTTCTGGACTGCTTAGACCCTTTCTCTGTTCAGAAACTGAATGTGAGAAGAGATTGCCAGCTCCAGGGAGATCCTAGTCCAGCCACGCAGGGACCATTTGTTCTTTCATTTACTTTCTGGAGACCAGGTTCGGAAACACAAGAGAAGTAGACAGGTGGTCTGTGTGTAAGCTGGGGTCCAGGTGATTGTTTTTCCAGGTATGTAGTCTGCAGCCCTGGAGTGATGCTTCCTGGGAAAGGTATAAAAGGAGCCAGAAGCTGTGGAGACTGGCTGCAGATCTTTGTATCAGTAAGACTGCTTAGGGCCTAAGGTTGGACACAGAGATCCACCCTTGGCCTAGGAACTGCCTTGCAGAGGGACCAGGCTCTGGCCCTTACAGAGTAGGGTGGATCCATTTGCCAGTCTTAGTGCTCTGGGAACTGGTTCCAACTTCATCACTTCTTACCCAAGCCCAAGGGACTCCATCTCCATCTCCTACATAGACACCTAGGGAGACTCTTGTCTCTTGGCTTCCAGTCCAGCCCCATTCTGCTCTCAGAGCTTCCTACTGTGCTGTTCTAGTGTGTCTCCCAAAAGTCCTACTTTGCTAAAAACAGTGTCCTGGTCTCTGTGGTTCTCCAGTGCATCTTGATACCCTTTGCAGGCTCACATTGCTTTCTTGGAAGACACTTTGGAGATCAGCATCTTTCTGCTCAGAAACAAGAGGGGAAGGGCAGGGCCTGAGAAATGACAGCCACATCTCCCTACCTCTTGGAATTCTCAGCATTCCCAGACCAGCCCACCTTGATGCAAGCCAAGGGGCCTGTTGAGATGGATGCATCTCTGTGAGAGCTCCCAGCAGCTGCACCTGCCCGTGCCTTTTCTTTTAAGCACATGCTGCTTGTGGAAGTGGCCTGCGGCTCAACAGATGTTCACTAAACACAACATTCCAGGCCAGAGGCAAGCGGCAGGGCAAAGCCGGGTCCCCTGAGATCTCACCCAGTTGCCTCCCACCACATCCTACACCACCTCCGCTACCTGTTCTGTGACTTAAGTGGCTTCCACCTTCCCTGCCCATTGGAAGCTACATAAGTGTGAGATCCAGAAGTCTGATATGATGGAGATGGGCAGGGGCACACAAGGAGGAGGGAGGAATTAGTTTTAATCACTGTCTGAGGCAAAGAGTAAAGAACATGAACTGAGGGCATGTGCCAGGGTTGTAGGGTGGACATTAGTCCAAGACAAAATTCCAGAAAGAGAGCCAAGATATGGAAATCTACAAAAAGGAACAGATAGGACAGCAATATCAACCACAAACAGGTGTCAAGGGTTCAGGATCTCAGCTACTGATCCAGTAGAGTTGTCACTCCTCTGGGGTAGGCACCAGAGACTCAGAGCAGCTAGTGTCAGGGAGATGAGAGATCAGGTTAAACTTTGACCCAGAGCAGGACAGAACTAGGTGGGGTTCTTCCCAGTTCCCTGGGATGGCTTCTAGGACAGGGTGGCATAGGTGCAGTAATTAAATTTATCTGCCAGAGTGAAAATGGGGACAGAAGAGTCTCAGGAATAACATCTCTTTTGTGCAGAATTCAAGTGCCTGAAGTTCTCCTATTTAAGACTTGCAAGTTTAATTAGGTTAAGGAGACTCATTTACTGGTCTCCTTTAAAATACGTAGTTTAGTACCTGGTGGCAATGGCTTGGATGTAGTAAGAGCAAGACCTACCTCACTCTGGTGGGTCCTTACATTCACTCTGCTCCCTAAAAGGCAGGCCTAAAAAGACCAGAGATGGATGCTGGGACGGAAGAAGGTAGGGAGCAGGTTTTACCAGAGTTGCCCAGTGAGACAGACAGAGGACCAGACGCAGCTCCTCTAGAGCAGTGGCCTTGACTTGACTTTATTCCTATATGGCCTTTCCTCAGGGAAGGGGAGGCCCTTGACACCATCCCCGAGTCCACCCTCTACCCTTCTTCCGCAATTTAATTCTGTTCCCCTTGAGTCTCCTTGTCCTTGGCACTTCGCTTTTTTTTGGAATTCGGGTGATCCAGAGCCCTAAGGCTAGACTTATCAAGAGCACGAGGAGGAGCAATCCCTTGGCTAGGAGGCAGGAGGACACCGAAGGCGTCTCAAGGTAGCCAGGATCTGCGAAAGAAGAAAGGAAGGAAAAGGGCCTCATCAAAGTGAGCAGTAAGTTAAGATTAGGGACAGAAAACTACCCAAATTCTACAGAGGGGCTCTTACAGTTAGTGTTTTTTTCTCTGGAAACATATTCTACACCCAGAAGCTCAGGAATTGAGATGGGAGCACACTTAAGCCAAGAGAGAGAAGAGAATTTTGGAAGATGGGTCCCTTCCCCAAGCCAGATGTGTGAAGCCTCTGCGGAAAGGGGTTAGGCTCTGGATTCCATGTGATCTCCTAAGAAGAGCTCCTAAGAGAGCTGGTGCCTGGGGCACCTCTATGAACCTGGTACCTGCACAGAAAGGCCCAGCAGTGACGGGACGAGAAGTGATGCTGCTGATCGGGTTGCTAGCCCTGCAGGTGTAGGAAAGGGCTTTGTCCCCAGGCCTCCAGTTTGTTCTGAGGACAGAGCCTTCCTGGGCTGTGTCAGCACTGTCCCCCAAGGTGAGCCAGCTATAGGTGACATCCGCGCCTGCTCTCTCCACAAGGCATGCCAGGGATATATTACAGGCACTTTCCCCAGGGATCTCAAAGTTCACAGCAATTTGGGGCTGCGACAGCCGTCCTAGATGGGGAGAAACACAAAGATCCACTGAATGGTCCAAGAGTTGTCTGTCTTCTCAGCTCCTCAACCGTTGGCTACTGGTGCTTGTTCGAGGGCCTCTTCACACTTAAACAACAAATCAGCAGGACAAAATGCACACCAGCCCCATAACACTTTCGATTCCAAGGTTCCCGGGGCACCTGCTAAGGTGATAGAGCTGCCCTTGACATATTCCCTCCACTATGCTGCTCTCCCTTGCTATTGTACTCCAACTTCTCCCAAACCTTCTTCTGGATTCTTGATCTCGCAAAACATTACTGTGCCTCCCAAAGCCATTTATATTTTAATTAGTGTCTCTACAAGATTCAAGGTAGATTTGATGTGATGGGCACAAAGACTTTAGTTTCAAGTCCATGGAAGATATTGATAACTAACCTTCAAATGGCTCAAGGGGCTAAAGGACTCAGGCATGGAGGTGGGGTTCATCTCCAGGACCTACAATCTCACAGGGACAGAAAGTTCCCTTAGAAGTCTATACATGAGAGCTAGGGATTTAGCTCAGTGGTTCTGCTCCCTGGCTTGCAAGCACAAGGCCCTGAATTCAATCCCTGGTGTGAAAAAAAAAAAAGTGTATACACAAAGCCCTCATCCCTCTCTCTGATTGGGCACCTCCGTGGGAACAGCGTAGTGCCCACCGCCTCCTTACTCTACCTCACCATATGTGTTGCTAAGCACAGATACCAGCCGGGCCCACTGGAGACCATCAGCCTTCTAATCCTAGCTCCTCACACCATAATTCTGAGTCCTAAAACCCCTGCTCCATGGCTTGGAAAGCCCAGGAGAGCTAGAAGAAGCCAGCCCTTATGGTTCCCCCAGTGTAACTCACGGTAGACACGTAGGTTGTAGTGTGGCGTGGTGGAGAGCTGGGATGTCTGCAGATTGACTTGAGCTTGGTAAGACCCTGCGTCCTCCCAGCTCACATTGCTGATGTGCAGAGAGTAGCTGCCATCCAGGAAGCTCACTCGGCCCTCATAGTGAGGGTCCACCACCATGACACTACCTGGATATCCTTCTTTCCCTGGCACCACTGTGGCAAGTCTCTTTCGGGAGAACCAGACAATGCTCTCAACTTCCTCATCAGGAGGTATTTTCAGGGGGAGGATGATGGACTCCTGAAGGGCTGCAACTACTTCCTCAGGCTCCACACCATCTCCAGAGTATGCTTTGGCTGCAGATGTGAGAAGAAAAGAGACATAGCGCAGCTGGTATCTCTGGGCTGCTGAGCCTGGCAGTGGGATCCTTGGCCCACCTCAGTTGAACCAACACTCAGCCAGCCTCCAGTTGCCTCTTCTGGCTCTAGATTTCCATTGCACCTGAGCTGAGGACCTAAAGGGTTTGGATTTCATCTGTCTCTTCACCCTCCAAATTTTATCTTGGCTTTGCCACCCCGGGACTTTTCCCTCTCCAGTATCCCCAGATATTCTCTTCTCTTGATCTTTTCCTGGAGCCATATGCCATTCCTCACACTTCAGGAAAGCCCCAAAGAGTCTAGCTCCACTGCCTGCCTCTCAAACACAAGGTCCCAAGTTCGATCACTGGCACCAAAAAAAAAAAAAAAAAAAGAGTCTTGCTATGTCTGGGACCCAGCAGAATAAAAGAAGTGCAGGACAAGAAGGCAGTCCTAGTAGGAGCAGACAGTCACTTACCTTCCTGGAGCAGCAGGAGAAGGAGCAGCCAAGACCCCATGTCAGCAGCCCAGCCCTGGAAGGATGACATGGTCAGCACTCTAGGATGAGGAGAAGACAAGCTGGTAGGAAGCTCCTTGGTAGAGTGACTGGTTGGCAGTCCTGAGGAGAGGGAAATAATGCTCAGCCTTACTTCCTCCATCCTTATTAGGCCCCTCCCTGTGCCTCATGGAGAGAGAGTTTTCTCTCTGAGCCTGGGTGTTGAGATGGCATTTCCACCGACTTGCCTTGCCCATCCATCATGATCAGCTCAAATCCCATTTCCTAATGACTTTCTTGACTCCTTTTGTCCCAGACCCCATACCTACCACAAGCCCCAATCTCTTAAAATACTCCCTGGCTTGTCATTTCGCTTCGGTATGCTCTGCCGCAGCTCTCTCTCATAGTTCCTATGTTGCTATGATTACTTGATCATATAAACATCTTTATCTCCCCTGATAGATTCCATCTCTTATTTTCTCACTTTTGCTGAGCCCCTGCAAGACAAGACACACGTGAGCACTCAATTGACATCATTAGAGTGAATGGATTAAGGAAGCCGGTTATGTTTCCATTAGAGATACTGGGGTGGGGGTTGATCCTCTTTGAAATAAACAGTGTTGACCAACATAGATCCAGGTTGTTGATCTAGCTATAGGAAATCAGATTCAGGAAGACATTGAAGATCAGGGTAAGAAAAGACTTTCTGACAGTCAGAGCTGGCTAGGAACAGTGGGTTGCCTTGGGAGGTAGCTTCTGTCCCCGGTGTTCAAGCTCAGACTGGTCCATCACTTGATTGGGTAGTGTGCAGTGTCTCTGGCATCAGATGGATCCACAGGCAGGATAATCTTCACATTTCTCCTAATACTGAAGTCTCTGAGTCTGTGCTGTGATGAGGAAACAAGAGTGGTTTGTCAAGACCAAGGTGTGACCAAGACCAGAGGCAGATATGCTCAGTTCCAATCCTGTGCCAACATTTCATAACTTTGGGTCAAAAAATCTAGCATTTGATCAGGTGGTTATTGAGCAGCTTCTACAGCCCAAGTACTGGGCAGATGAGAGTGATTCAGATCATAACTTTATGGAAGTGATAGTCTCACAACGGACCCTGAACAAATAGCAACATATGTGATGAGTCTCACCACAGGAGAATTAGAAGAGCCTATCACAAGAAGATGTAGCAAAGGTGGAGTCAGGAGGATGGAAGGAAAGCTATTAAGAACAAATGACATTTAGGCTAAGACCTCAAAGATGTAGGATCTGCTAAGTGTAGAAGAGAGATAGCTAGTCTTTTTTGTTTTGTTTGTTTGTTTTCTTTGGTATAGGGGATTGAGCCATCTCTCAAGCGCCGGGAAGGTAGGCTGGGCCCCGATCTGCTGCGGGAAGGAGAGCCACGCCTGCTCCCGACCCAGCAGCCATTGCTCAAGAGCTGGGAAGGTAGCCGCGCCAGCGCCCAGAACCCCCATAACCCCACCACCACCACCACTCTCAGACCTCCTGACTGTGCCAGCCTTTGGACCCACTCTGCAAAGACAGAGGTGGTCATCAAGGGTATTTTTCTGAGTTCCCAACTTTGAACATCTTTAAAGAAAGGGCGTGGGAAACCTGTAATAGAACGTTGTGGGGTTCAACCATTCAGAAGGATGGGGAACTCAATCTGGGCCCTGCAGCCCGAGGTCAGTCAGCATCAGGGGGTTCAGCCATCAGCTTACTGAGATCAGGGGTCTTGCATCCTCGCTCTGTCTGAGCCATTAAATGGTAAATACACTATATTGAAATTTTGCTCACTGCAGACATGTTCTGGACTGCTTCTTGATTTCAATTTAATTCAAATGATTTAAGGGTGATAGACTAGTGACTACCACAGGTGGTCAGTGTCCAAGTTGTGCTTGATCTTTATGTGTTGCTGATTGTATCAGCTGGGGTAAAGCATTGCCATTGATTTGATGAGCTGTTTTCTCTGATGTTATGAAGATGAGAATGATTGTGGATCGTTAGACACACAGAAGCTAGGGTACAACTATATCAGGAAGATTTGGGTGATAATCCAGAGATTAAACCAAGGACAGTCCAACAACAAAAATTAAAATGAGAAAACACTTAAGCAAGACACAAGGACAGACTTCCAGTTCACCAATGGCAAACAGTAGGGCAAATGAGGATGAAAAGGCCAATAGTGAACCACCAGAACACTCTGAACTCAAAGCACAGGAAGTAACAAAACAGATCAATCAGGCTCCAGAAAAATTCAAAACAGAAATAATTTCCCAGATAACCACAGAGATAGTGAGCAACATGGAAGTCGTGATTCGAGACTCTAGAGCAGAAACTGACAAAAAAAATAGATGAGCTCAGGACCACCATAGAAGCCATGAAGGCCCAGCATAAGAAAGAAATGGAAAAAATAAATGCCCAACATAGGAAAGAAATGGAATCCATAAAACAGATTCAAACAGATACCCAGGAGATTAAACACTCTATTGAAAGTGTACTACCTAGACATATAATAATCAAGATCCCAGAAACCCAACAGAAGAACAAAATACTACAAGCAGTAAGAGAAAAGAAACAAATCACATACAAAGGAAAGCCCATCAGAATCACAGCAGACTTTTCAACACAAACCCTTGGGGCAAGGAGAGCCTGGAATGAGATATTTCAAGTACTAAAAGAGAACAACCTGCAACCTAGACTGATGTATCCAGCAAAACTCTCTTTGGTATAGGGGATTGTATTTTGGACCTTGCTGCAAGGCAGGCTGCAGAACCACTGAACTAAATCCCCGGCCCTGAGATGGATGGTCTTACAGATACTCAGTTTATGAGTATCCTCATCCAGTCAGGGATGAGGAGTTTATTTCAAGTACTAAAAGAGAACAACCTGCAACCTAGACTGATGTATCCAGCAAAACTCTCTTTGGTATAGGGGATTGTATTTTGGACCTTGCTGCAAGGCAGGCTGCAGAACCACTGAACTAAATCCCCGGCCCTGAGATGGATGGTCTTACAGATACTCAGTTTATGAGTATCCTCATCCAGTCAGGGATGAGGAGTTTATTTTATTAAAGTAGACCAGGTTTCAGCTTAAGCATGAAACTTTTTAAATAGTCTTCCTATTTATTTAAAAAATAAAATTAGGGGCTGGGGATTTGGCTCAGTGGTTCCACCACCTGCCTCAAACGCAAGGGCCGGAGTTCGATTCCTGGTACCAAAACAATAAAATAAAAGTCGACCTAACAATACCACTATCTGGCCTGTAGCCAAAGGAAATGAAACAGCATGTTGAAGAGATGTCTGCATGGCCCAGATTCACTGCAGCACTATTCATTGTGGCCCAGGTATGGAACCAATGGATGAACAGATGAAGAAAATGTAGAACATACACACAATGGGATACTATTCAGCCTTAGAAAGAAGACACCTTGTCATTTGTACCAACAGAGATGAACTCAGAGAACATTGTTAATTAAACCAAATCCGGCACAGGAGGATAAACACCATACAATCTCACTTAAATGTGGAACCTAAAGAAGTTAAGCTCACACCAGAGAGTAGACTGGTGGTCTCTAGGAATGGGGAGTAGGCAGGTGGGTGGGGAGACAGTCATAGGACACAGAATTTCAGAGAAATAAGTTCAAGAGTTCTATTGTAGCCGGGCGTGGGGGCACATGCCTGTAATCCCAGCACTCAGGAGGCTGAGGCAGGAGGATCGCTGTGAGTTTGAGACCAGCCTAGGCTACATAGTGAGTTCCAGGTCAGTCTCAACTATATAGTGAGACCCTGTCTCAGAAAACCAAAAAAAAAAAGAGTTCTACTGTAGAAGGCTGGAGATTTAGCTCTGCCTGCCTCACAAGCACAAAGACCCAAGTTCGATCCCGGTACCAAAAAAAAAGTTCTATTATACAACATGGAGACTAGACTTAGTGTATAGTATTCTTAGAAATTGCTGAGAATGGATTTCAAATATTCATACCACAAAACATAAGTATGCAGAGTAATTTCTAGGTTAATTAGCTTGATTTATCCATTTCATGATGGATACATATTTTTAAAATAGCATGTTGTACACAGTAAATGTCTACATATTTTTTGTCAACTAAAAAAAAAAATTAAAGCAAAGAATTTTTAGAAAGAAAACAAGGTCACCAGCACAACAATCAGAATTGAAAGGGTAAATGTACCTGTTATATTCTCTGAGTAACAGATGCTGGTGTTAGGAGTGTAAGAGGCTTATCGGCGGGGGCGGTTTTCTGCCCGTCACAGATAAACAGGTAAGGAAGCAGGGAGAGCTTCAGACCATGATGCAGATCCCACCAACACTGCCAACTTACATGGAGCTCTGGCATGAAGTTTGCCCAGCACAGACGGCCTGTGTAGGACAGAAACATCCAGGTATGAGGTCCTCCCTGTGCAGGAATACTCATGTGATGCCACACTGTGTGCCCTTATTGGCTGGGCCTGGCAGGAAGATTGTGGATCCTGACCATGTGGAGACTGTCAGTTCGTTGTGCCTCTTGCAGCTGAAGATGAGTTTTCTCTTGAAGGGAGAGCTGAGGGGCACCTCCGTGGCTCTCAGAGTGAGTAGCCTGATGGCTAGAAAGGATCTGCACTCAGATTAAATTTGTCTCCATACATAAGCATAACCAGGAGAAAAATGATTGCCACCTCCAGTCCTCACTGGCCCTCCAAGTCCAGCGTGGAGAGAGTCATTTCTCACAGCGTGATTGATGAGTATCTCTCAGCCCTTCCTTCACAGATGAGGGGCCTCCAAGAGTAGTCACACAGGCTCTCCATAAATTTCACTGTAAATTCCTCAAGGGTACACGTCCCTCACACTGTCCTTAATCTCCTGATACCTGTCACATTGTCACCTCAGTGTGTCCAGGCAGGAAGAGATCCAGTCTAACACCTTGCTTATAGCACTCATTTAAGGTTCCCTTTAGTCCCGCCTGTTCACCACCTGATTTCTGAACTGCTGTGGTGGACAGACTTATGACTGAGTCCCCCTGCAGTTTACTCCCTGGGAAGGCTCTGCTTTTCTGCTTCCTGGCTTTTCCTGCGACATCAGGAGGTGGGTCAGCCCAAGAACAGGAGAGACTGGGACATAAGGGGTGGTGGGGTGGAGTGCTGAGTAGGTATACAAATGCCCCAGGCTCCTTGCTCTCCTGTGGGACCGTTCTGATTCTCGTTCCTCTGAAGACTGAGCTCCAGTTGTCCACAGCAGTAATCAGCTACTGACACACCCTTTGTTGGCTTTTCTCCCTTCTCTGTCACAGTTTCCTCATTCCTTCTTTCTGGATCCTGTCCCAGAAAGATTTCCTCCTCCCAACTTTCTTTCCAAAGGTGTGTTTTGGAGGAAAACTACGCTAAGACATTATTATGTGACAAAGTACTTGCACCAGTAAAATCTAGATCTCCTCAGTCTTCTGCTTGGGTTAAGAGAAAAGAAGTCAATGGAAATAAGCTTCCCATCCACCCAAATTCTGACATAAAGCCTTGGCAGAGAGGGATAAGTGAAAAGTTTGGCCTTTTTCTAATGGGGAACATGGTGTGTGGTGGAATAAACAAAGGGCCAAACCTTTGCTCAAATTTTCTCCTCTGTATCTCTTTGGATGTGAAATGATGGGAATCAGGGTTGGGGATGTAGCTCAGTGGCTCCATGCCTGCGTGGAAAGCTCAAGGTCCTGAGTTGGATTCCTTGCACTGGAAAGGAAAAAAAAATGAAATGAAAGGGATCTACACAACTGAGGCATAGTCCTGAAAGAGCCAGAGCAAGTAAGTTCCAACCAAATCGTCTCCCTCCCTCCCCAGGCAAAGCGTGGTGAGACCTGAATGTGTCCTCTATTCTGGGGTTGGCCTGTGCACTTGATCTATGCTTTCTTTTTTTCTTTTTTTCTTTTTTTTGTTTTTCAGTGCCCGTAGTACAAGGGCGATTATTCATCGGAACCATGAAGGAGGCTGGATGAAATGAACATGGTCTGCTAATTGTTGAAGTGTGCCTCGAGGAGCCATTATGAATCAGAGGAGAATAGAGTGCTTCTCGCGGAGGGACCCGCCTGGCCAAACCCTGGAGGTGGGAGCGGGCAGAGCACACTGAGGTGCAGAGAACTTCTCGACAGGGAGAATCGAGACAGGAAGGTGGAGAAGAGTTGAGATGAGGCAAGAAAGACGGAGACAGCTCACCCGGCCTTGTAGATCTGGTCAAGACCTTGCACCTCGCACCCTCAAGAAGTTTACCTTTGACAGGGAGGGAAAATACAGGATAAGAAATAAAGACAAAGCCTAGGGTAGAGGGAACATTTATTGCTGGTGGTCTTTTCTTCAGATGGGAAAGATATGGATACATTTGAATACCAAAAAGAGGAGCCAGTAGGGGCAGAGGCTAAAGATGCAGGCAAAAGCAGATGTCCAAGGGAGCAAGGCCTCTCCCCGACCCATCCCTCTCCCTCAGAAGGTAGAAGGGAGCTGAGATTCAGAGCCCAAGAAAAGCTCAAGATTGTGAGAAGATCTTCCACTATAACCAGAAGAAATGGGCAGAGATGCTGTCAGGTTTTTGTGTGTCAAGAACTTAAAGGGAATCCTATCTAGTGGTTTCAATTTTCCTGTAAACTGGAGGTTTAAGTGAAAGGCAGACATTTTGAGAGAATGAATAGTTTGGCTTTTCGTTTTTGTTTGTGGTACTGGAGATTGAACTCATGGACTCCTACATGCTAAGCAAATGCTCTACCACTCAGCTACCGCCCCAGCCCTTTTTTTTTTTACTTCATTTTGAAACAGAGCCTTGCTAAGTTGCCCAGGCTGGTTTCCCACTTGCGATCCTCTTATCTCATCCTCCCAAGTTTGGGTTTTTCTGTGCTGGGATTAAATCCAATGCTTTGTCCATGTTAAGCAAGTGCTGTATCCTCAGCCCCTGGATACAGTTTGGAACAGGTGGGGAGATTACATTCAGGTTTCTTGGGTCAGTCACAGTTAAAACACGTTGTCCAGGCCTAATTATTAATAATGCCCTTTTTTGTTTTCAGAAGGTGTCCTGGTTTGGAGGGTACATTACTTGGGTACTCTGAAACAGAGGAAAAACTATTCTAAAGCAATCATGATGAGATGGCTAAAACCGAAGAGTAAAAGACTACCCTTAGATTTCTGGGGAAGAAATTTCCCTGAAGATCTGCAAGGAAGAAGTAGTGCCGCAGTGGATGAGACCCACAGCTGGAACCAAACTGTCTGTGTTCCTTCCTTTTGCAGATGGGATAATCACACTATCCACTTCATAGGGCGGTCATAGAAATAAAATGAGATCGTGCCTGAAAGCACTTAGCCCAGAGCTTGACACACAGTGAAGGCTCAATGAATGCGTACTGAGGTTCTTCCTGAAGGTTAAGCATAAAGATCACGGGCATTGGCATTATGGGCCTTGGCAACAGACCAGAGTCTGTGGTTATTGAAGAGAATCTGCCAGAAGTCTAACATAAGACACATGAATAGGTTTATTTGAGAACAAATCAGCCTGGTCTGAGGGACTGCAGGTTCTGTGCAAAAAAAAAAAAGCCAACCCAGCTGGGTGTTTTTCATGCCAGCTGCCTGTTCATCAGACCAGCCCCTTATGATGCAGGGGTGAGAACACCAGGCTGCTTTCCTTAATCCCACCCAGGAGCTACTCATTCCTCCTTCTCTCCCAGGTATCATATATCCCAGACTGGCTCATACACGTACCCTTCTCCCTAATTATCTCTTGTCTCCTCTTCTTTCCTAAAATGAACTGGTGTGTGTTCCTCTGGGTCACATGTCCTCTGCCTCCCTTATGCTTATTGCTCTCAAAATATAGATGTTGTACCACCTGCATTAGAGTCGCTCAGCGCAATGGCTGAAATGTCAATACCTGTGGCCCCACTCTAACCACGGGGTCAGAGAGGGAGATGGGTCCAGGAATCTGCCTACTTATCAAAGTGGGTCCCCAGGTGATTCCACTGTAAGCTGAAGTCGGAGAAAGGCACATTTTGCCTGTTCTTCTTTTCCACTGGAGGGGAGAAGTTCCCCAGCCAGGGAATTTTGTCTCCAGTCACAAAAGATTTCTTTTCCCCCTAAGCTAAGCCATGAAATGACACTGTCTTGTTTCCTTCTGAGAATGGACTTTGGAGAACGTGAGAGGGGCTCTAAGGGCTTTTAATCTGTTTTCCAAAGAGCTGTCTTGTGGATTGCCAGTGGAGGCAAGTGCAAGGCCACGGAACTCTGACCTGAGACCTCTGCTTTTATCTTTTACACATGGGGGCTTTGAAGCAGCACTTGTTTGAAAATTAGGGCCTATTGCTGAACATTTTTAAAAGTGTTTAGAATCTACTAATTTTGTCCAACTCTATTTTACAAATTAAAAACAAACTCACAAATAATCCCAGAGGTCCAGGTGATGGAAAGAATTCTTCAGTTCTACACACTTTAATGACAAAGCTAAGACCAAAACTCAAGTCTTTTCATGTCTTCTGGCTTGGATCCTACTTGATTAAACAACTTTGGGGTATACCAGAAGTACATCCAGTGATGTCCTGGCACATAGAAAGCCTTCAGCAAATGTCATTGTTATTGTGGTGTCGTTGTTAATTTACATTTGTATTCTTTAATGATTGATTTGTATTTCAGATTGGAGGCACACAAAGTAGGCATGAAGGAAATACCACCAGGTAAGTCTGCACATGATGGTATTTTTCTTAGTTAACTCAGCATTGTTCAGGCTCTAAGTCTTTGCCTTAAACTCTGACTTATTAATATCCCAGAGTTGATCAGAATCTGGGATGCTGCCTTATTTTATCAGAGCTGTCATCAACTGACATGAAATTAGCTATTCATCTTGCAAATATTTATTAAGCTTCAATTAAATTCAAGGCAGTGTTCCAGGTAGAGGGTACAGCAGCGAACAGGATTAATGGAGTTTACATTATCATTGGGGTAGAGGTTAGGGGGAAGATAAGCAATATGAAATAAATAGACAGTGGACCCTCAAATTACCACCAGCCTGACATGAACGAGTTGGGTTAATTAGGTTAATGGAAGATTCATCTGGCTCTTGTTATCTATAGTGTGTACCCAGGTAAACAACCAGATCTCAGCTGTATTGACTTACAACCAACTTGAGTTACAACCAGCCCTCAGGAACCTATCAAGTTCATAAGTCAAGTGTCCATTGTATGACAGTAAGTCATAAGGTACTATGAGGAAATCCCATCCAGGATAAAGGAATAAAGGGGGAAGAGCAAGAAATGTATTTTGGTTGGTTAGGGTGTTCAGATCAAATACAGTACTGCAGTTTATGTTGTGCTACCATTTCCTCCCCATGTATAGTCTACATGGGGAGTTATCAACAGAAGGATGCTATGCTAAAGGAAAAGAGATGATCTAAGATCAATAATACAATGACAACCTATCGTGTTCATCTCTACACTGTGGCTCCTTCTGCCAGACCTCTGGTGACTGTGGCCTGGCTGACAGAGGCCCCAGACAGAGTCCAGATGGGCGCAGCCCAGATGTGCATTTCTGTAGTTCACCTTTTGCAATGTGGCTATATCACCCAAGGCATTTTTCTAATAAAGTACATACCTTTATTTGATCATGTTTCTTTGGGGATCATTTGCGTGTCTCACCTCTGATCCATTAAGTAGTGACTTCATGCTTTGGGACTCAGAAGACATTTCTATTTTCTCAATTTCTAGGGCTAACTCCCCTTCTCCCACCACCATGAAGTACTTTTTTGATAAAGGCTTCAGCTTTTCCAATATCACATACAAAATGCTCTGTGTCCCTGTCAGGTTCCCCACAGAGCTTGTCACATACAGTGGCTTCCACACCCCATGCCATTCTGCTCTCTGGATCAAATTCTTCTTTCTAGGGGATAAAGGGAGCTGAGTGGGAGCCTAACCTTGGAGCACTGAAGGTGACTTAGAATTTAGGCTGGTGGATTTCCTGGATCTGAGTGGTTCCCCTTCTCTAAGGGGAAAGCCGCCTTTTATAACAATAGTATAGACATTTTCTCCTGAGTGATGGAAATAGTTAAAAATAGTGGGGAAGGCTTTGGGGATTTCCCCCAAACTGCTAGAAGAGGAAATGAAGGAACAGAACGAGAAGTAGAGAATTTAGGGGAGCCACCCACTCCAGCCTCTCTGAGGGTGGGGGAAGAAGAGATGGGAAGGAGAATTGTCCTAGGATTGATACTTCCTGGCACCAGAGAGGTCCAGTTTGGTTGACTACGAATGAATGAGTTGAGGGGTGGAGGAGAGGACAAGGTGGTCTAGTTGCTAACAGGAGTTCAGCTATACAGTCTAGTCCTTCTATAACAGGGATTGTTGAACTCTCCAATATATTCATTTAACTTTTTTGTAATGGAAATATTATTTAAAAACCCATACACTGGAAATTGGACTGTTCTAGTAAAAGCTGAATTGTGTAGCTCATCTCAGCCCTTGAATTTTACCCTGAGGCAATTCTTTGGAGCCCTAGGTGTTCTGCGGCACCCACTGTGCTGCTCTGAGTTATAGAGAGGGAAATGTTATCATGTAGAATTCTAGGTTTCCACCTCGATTCAAGCTACAAGGGCCAGAACTGCACCTGTTACATGTTGGGCTTATAGAAATATTAGAGAGGCTTCCCTAAAAATACCCTGCCTCACCCCACTCAAAATCCTTTAAAATTGTGTT